GTCTTCTCCTTCGAGGAAGTTGGCAGCGAATTTTCGCTCCATTTCCTCGGCTGCGTCCATGATCTGGGTCATGGTGAAGGTGATGGGGAAGAATTGTTTTCGCAGTTTGGCTCGTATTGCTCCTCTTCGAAGTTCGTCTATGAAGAAGTCCCTTCGTACCTTCTTGTCCCTCTGGGACTTTGATAGATTCGAAGGCTTCTGTACTCAGTCCTTGATCATGAAGAACGCTTGCTCCGGATGGATGTGGTCGAACCTGTGGAGGAAATCTCTTTCAAAGGTAGGGAGATCAGTCCATACGTAAGTAGTGAACCAGTGGTGGGCATCGCCTCCTAACCGGGTGGGGATGTTAATCCTTGTCTCAGACTCATCGTTATCGTACTGTTGTGCTCAGAGTGTGGCCAGCCAGGCGCCGGGTCGAACAAGTACAGCTCTGGCGGGGCTGCCGGAGTGTGGACACGTGCAGGTTGAGGTGCGGGCTGGGGGGCGAGTACTGGGCCACCACTTGCCCCTCCCTGTGCCTGGTGAGCCTGTGCTTGATTAGCATTAGCCTGATTGGCATTCATGTTATCGACTGATCTGCATGCAGACCTGCTTCTTGTTACTATAGGTTCGTGTGCCGACGCGTTCCCTTGCGCGGACCGTCCCCTTTTTGGGGTCGCCAGGTCCGTTGAGCTTGAAAGAGCCGAGCCCTTTGTCAATCCCGGGTCTTGACACATGTCGGCTCCGATACCAACCTCACGCCCAGCGCAACTTCCTATTTTCAGAGTGTTAGTGGGCCTGGAAGTGCGAAAAGGGGTGTGCCAAGGATTTTAGGAAAGTGGGGGTGGAGTTCCAGGTCGGGACTGGAATTTCCTGTGTCACGTTCCGGGGGTAGAGGTGCAAGGGTCGCTTTCGGCTCAGAGTTGTGGTGATTGACGATCTCGCGGCCTGATCTGCGTATGGTGCTCGGGTGGGGCGTCGTGGGTGTCCCGGTGGGAATGCTCGTACTGCTGTCGGTCAACGCAAGTCTCCGAGGCTGAGGAGGATGAACCTCGCTCCCGTTGTTCTGTTTCGGAACGGGTTCAAGTTCATCAAGTGATCCTTGTCAGACGGTACTCGTCGTGTCGCTGGCACTCTGAGCACGACGGTCGGGGCCAAAACCAGGCTATGGACTCCCATGGGACGTCAAGTAGTTGGTGATACGGGAGGACGATGTAATAGGGAGGGAAGTTAGTGGTGATGGCCACGAAGCCTGGGGTTAGAAGGTAATGCTGGCTTTGGCTGTCGGGATAATCCGGGATCCGCGAGTCTCGATTTATGGCCAACTGGAAATCGCCCCTGCACCGTTGCTCTTTTCCAGTTCGGCAAAGGTACTCAGGATTCCGTGAGTTTCGTTGTCGTCTGGCTTGTTGCCGTTTGACTTGTTCCCTTTTCCAATATACCCGGTATTCCGGATCTCTCAGGCTCTCACGGTCGGTAATCCAAAAGGGAGTTTCGATCGCCACATCCTATTTAGCGGAGTCTAGCGCAGGCATCTTCGACGGGCGGGGTCGGGTTGGCTCTTGCACGCGCGGGCGTAGGCTGCAGGTCACCTTCGTGGGCGGCTACCTTACGTATGCGTGCACATGAGCCTGTCGATTTGATCAAAGACCGCGTGTGAGTGAGTTGCCAAAGAGCGGTTTACTTGCGTGTTGGTTTGTCCTATATGCTTGCAAGTAGACCTTCCGTGCAAATCTCAGGCAGAGCCAATCATTGCATATATGCACGTACCAAAAAAAGGAGGGCAGAGTTAGTTTTGGGCCTCCAAAAACCAACGCACCCTGGGATACCCGCAATCATGTGCAACTCAAAAACAAGTGATTGGACAGAACAAAATCGGAGATTGAAGAAAAAAAAAAAAAAAAAAAGGGCGCGCGTTTATTCACCCTCATGCATACATACACACAAGGCGGATAGTCTGAGATGATTCACACAAGAAATCCGAATGGTGCAGCAACAAAATTGACCAACGTTGGAATCAAAACTTTACATAGAAGGTAGGGAGAAGAAGACACTGTTCCGCCATCATGATATCCCCGTCTCTCTCTCTCTCTCTCTCTCTCTCTCTCTCTCTCTCTCTCTCTCTCTCTCTCTC